GCCAGCATGAGATTACAGTGGGGCTATCCCTTTCAGGGGGTCTGAACATGGCTCTGGCCCCTCCGCATCCCTGCTCTTAGTAGCATATTTTCTTGCTCCTCAGAATAAAATACACACCTTGTTTTTTGAAAGGCAGACTAAAGAAAAAAAAAGCTTATTCCTTGTAGTAACTAAGCAGCAGCAGAGAGGGAGCTGAGGCTGCTCTTTGTTCAACCCCCTGTGGACTGCTGCATATTTTACCAATAAGCAGTGGAAACTGCTCTTACCATATTTCTCACATGTAAGACACACTCAGATTTCCAGCAGTGGATTTTTTTTGGAGAAAGATGCGAGAATATATGGTATTTTAATAATTCCCGCCCTGCTAGCTCTGAGGAAGGAAATGTTAGATGGTCTGGAAACACCCCAGTGAAATGCCATTGTAGCAGCACTGTCTTGGCTCTCCAGAATTCAAACCATCTGCCCTTGGGAAGAAAATGTCCTGAGTTACACACAAGGCTAAGACACACCTGGGCTAAGAATGGGGGAAGCTCTGTGCCTGCGGGCTGGGTAGGAACAAAAACCTCTATCCAACTAGGTTATGGTGCATTAGTAAATCTGATGTTCCCACTGCAAACCTCTGTGGCCCTTGGCCCCTTCCAAGTTCATCCAAGCCAGAGCCCATGGACCAATGGATCCCTGACTCAAGAACCAGCGCTTGCACCCAGATGGGGAGCCCCAGTCACACTGAGGTGTGCAATCCTGCTGTTTCCCCTGCATCCCACTGACTCTAAAGCAGAAACCCAGCTACACTGTTTGGATGAAGTGGTGGAATGAGAGCAAGAAGTTGAATCCTGGGCCCTACAGCTGTGCAAAAAACAGTTAACTCCCCTCCTCTCTGAAAGGGGGTGGAGGGGGTTGGGCTTCATGGTCACAAAGCCACTAGCCATGCCCTGTTGTCTGCCACCCCCCTCCTCCATACTGGTGCAGATGAAGACCTGGAGAGCCCAGGCTTGTAAGGGGGCACAGAAACCCATCGACACAGTCTCCTGCATCTTGCCCTTCTCCCTTTATGTCTTCTCCTGCTGTCCATGCAGATTGGCCTTGATGCCTGTGGGGCTGTAAGTACAATATATAGATTTCCTCCTCAAGTAAAACTGCTCCAAGCTGGTCATCCCTTTCCACTCAGGGCTCTGTCTTCTGACTGCAAAGGAGTTCAAACACAGGAGAGCCTTAAGGAGCTCTGTCTATTTTGCTTAGCAGAAAGAAAGATTCAGATGTAACTTGACTGATGTATCTCACTCTTCCCAGGGAGAAAACAGCAAGCACTAAAGGGTGGAAAAAGGCACTGCAATAGCCAATTGCTGGGAATTAAAACCAAATTCATGTTGGAAATTAGGTGTGCACATTTTTTACAGGGAGGTTGATTAACCACTGGAACAAGCTATCAGTGGAAATAGTGGGCTTTCCGTTCCCTGAACTCATCAAAGAAGGGTTGGAAGTCTTTGTAGAAGAGATGAGCTATCGCAAGTGATTGGGTTCTCCATAAGGGTAACTGGATATGGTCTGTGTAATACAGGAGGCTGGACTGGATCAGCGGCTCCCAAACTGCGGCCCATGGAAAGTGGTCAATAGCTGGTCTGCAGATTGCGCTGGCCATCTCCCTTTTCAATTCAATGGTTGTGAAAAAGAGGGCATAGCAGTCCGAGACAAATTCTGAGGGCCAGCAGTGGCCCGTTAGTCCAAACGGTCTGGGAACCACTGGACAAGAGAATCTAATTAGTTTCTTCTGGCCCTAAAAAAACCTCTCCCTTGATGGATTCAGCTCTCCATGAAGCCATTTCATCCCTTCCAGAAAAAAGGAAAACAATCTAAGAACTTCCCAGCTTTGTTTTGCAACAGTTTATTAGCAATGTCCAGAGAAAATACAAAATTTTATTTACAGTGAAAATGACGGAGCGGCCAGAGGGAGAAGCACACAGGCCAGATGCAACCAGGACGCTGAGTACTGAGAATAAGCACACAGGGATGGAGATTAACAGCCCTGCACTGCCCACACTCAGCTGGAGGAAACCTAGCCCCTGCCCTCCAATATTTCTCCTTTACAGCCCCTATCTGGAATCACCGAAGCTAGTGGGGACTTCAGCAGGCATTTATACATTCCTCACGGCAGAGGGCCTGGGACCTTACAATAGAGAGTGGTGTTGGGCCCTTTCCTAGGATGGCAGTGCTGGTTGCAGCAGAGGGCAGGAGGGACCAGAGGAGACATGCAAGAATGGGAATGCCCGCACTTCCACTGAGAAACACGAGGGGGTAGCAAAGCCATTGCGCACGGTGCTGTCCGAACGGCTTTCAGGAGGGATAGAGCAGATGCCCTGCAGATGCTTTGTACTGGGCAGCGTGGGCCTCGGGTGGCGGCAGTAGCAAGAGGCGATTTGTCTCCATACTCGAAGATGGTGCAGAAGCAGGGGGCCAAAAGCAGTTCCAAATCTCTCCCGAAGTCCAGCAGGGATATGGCTCCAGGGCTTTGCTTCATCTCATGACATTGGGGCCAGCTGCAGGGTTCAGATCCCGGTCTGGATTTCACGGCAAGGCTCGTGGGCAACCAGGTTGGGGCATGCTAGCTGGAGACGTGCACGCAATAACCAGCCACCTGCTCTTCTCAGCCCTGGCTGCCTGTGGGAGGGGGCTGTGACGTGGGAAATGGCTTCTTTGTGCAGGATGAGGGTGTCTCCAGGAAACAGCTCCCACCTCAACCTGATTTCAGCTGCTCCATCATTTCTCAGCCAGGACACTTGTCCCTCTCCTTCCCCACTCGGTTGTATCAGGGGCAAACAACTGCCCTGACATGGGCACTTTATAGACTGCCCGCTCCTGGAGAGAAACCAAACTGCAACTGAGTGTCATAGGCCCTGTATTGCCAACAGTTCATGGAGATTCTCCTTTACCTCCAGCTGCAGGTGGGTGAGCTTTTGGAGCAGGAGGATTGGTGGTTTAATTTTGCTATTGCTTTGAAGTGCTGCATGGCTACTGCATCCAGGACAGCACTAGCTAGGGCCTATGTGATCACAAATTTGCTACAGCATGGGACTCCCTATTTACCTTGGCCTGCTGCTTTTTTCTTCTTTTTTTTGCACAACTTCTCCTTACATGACATAGGAATTTCATAAACAAATTATCACTGGAACAAGGGCTATTGATTAAAAGGGTGCATGCTCAAACACACAGGGAGGGCAGAAACATTGGGCAAGAGATGATTCAAAGACCTGCAGGAACCCACTGTCTCCTTCCCCTGATGGTATCAGACGCTCAGGCCTACCTTTCTACTCACCTGTCCCAGGGTTCATTGTCTGCACCAGTGCAAAACACAGATCTCACTGGATACTGTCTGAGCCCCACTATGCACCAGCATCAATGAAAACCCAATAGAGAAATGGGTCCCAGAGCTGGGAGCCATCTGCAGCTGGCCCAGTGAGTATGGAAATGTCTCAGGACATATGAAGAACAATTTTTGCATTTCATCCTTCCATCAAAGCAGCAAGGGCTTTATCCATGGGAAAGGTTCCTAGGCACCACCACAGCAGAGTTATTAGTAGTAATCACAGCCCCACTGGGGCTGATGTGGGGGGAATGCGCAGGCAAAAGGCTTTGATGCTGCAAATGGCTTCCTTTAGTACCATTCTGAGTTGCCCATCTCCCAGCAACAGCTGACGAGGATCTGGTCCCAAGGGGCCAAACCCAGTGTTTGCTGCATAATGTAAATCTGGAATAACCCCTAAGTGGCACAGCATCACCCGGGTACCTGGCAGCCTGAGGTCTCACACAAATGCATCAATTGGGATTAAGGCAGCAGGAAAGGGAAGGGACATGGGAACGGCCTGAAGAGAAGCAGGGAGACCAAGGCTTTGCTTCTGACAGCAATGCACAGTAATTTTCCTCTCCTTGGGCACAAGTGGCCAGGGTATGCAGTCACATGAGGGGTAAAAGCCAGGGCAGCATCAGTGAAGGAATGTACACTATTGAGCCTTTGGCATGGGCTCCCCTTCCAGCACCCTGCAGTCGCCAGAGGCAGCTCGGTGACGCATATACCCTGGCATTCTTGGGGAGATGGCAGATAAAGCCCCTATCAGCTGGAAGGATCGCCTTTTAAAGATGACTTAAGGCTCTCTTATCACAGCCTCGGGCCTGACACTTAGAAATCAGCCATTGGATTCCCAAATGGGGAATATTAATAGGGTGAAGATGGAAAGATAACGGATGCACTCAGCAACATGTGAGCCAACTGCAGCAGTGGCTCACCTCGGAGCTGGAAACAACCAAGCTCAGGGCAGAGGTGACAGCTGGAGTAGCAAGGGGGGGAGAGTTGTTCAGTACGAGCCGAGCCTTTGGGCTGAGCAAATTTCAGGGAGGCAAATAGTTTGTTTACTAAAAAAAAAAATATGCAGTTTTGGTCACCTTGAAACTGTTCGGTAATTCAGCAAATGGTTTGACTGAAGAAGACATGCAGCCAGGCCATCTGAAACACTGATGGGGCTTCATTCGGGCATTCCCAGGCACTGGCTTGCACTTCCAGGCTAGGCTCGCGCAAGATGGGAGCCATTTGCAAAACTGAAAAGCCAACGAGGACACTTCCCCTCCCTTCTTTATACACAGAGGGCCAAGACTAGTGATGGGGGAGAGCCGGGTGCAAGACTCAACTCTGCCTGATCAAAGGAGGGGCTCGAACCAAAAACCTCCCTTATGCTAGGCGAGCAGCCCAGCCCTTGCTTTTCTCAAGCTCTCCTGCCAAAGCGGTTTCATTCTGGATAGCATGCGGACTGAACTCAGCTCTCTTGTCCAGCACATCCTAAGTGAGCTCTGGGGTAAGGGACACCTCCAGCCCCCTTCGTGCTACGAATGGTGCCGAGGTCCCCACAAGAGCCAAGCCCTTTGCTTTCACTAAGAATGCCAAGAAAAAAACCCAATCAGTTTGTTTCAGGTCAAAACAGATTCAGTCCACCAGAAGCACCTATTTTTTTTTCCAGTTCACTGAACCTTTTAAATAGTCCACTCCTCCCCTCCCGGCCCTGCTCTTCAGACACCAACCTGCTCAGCTTCACCCAGGTGCTCCTTGGGGATTTCTCACACAACCTCTTAAATAGCAAATGGTTTTTCTAGCTTGGGTGGCTGCTAATAGGACCTGCCTGGCCTGGCTGCCAGGGTGAGTCAGGAGGAGTGCTCTGCATCTCTTAGCAGGCTTTGTAAACCTGGGCCCCATTCCAGATGGATCTACTGAATGTCACCGCAGTGGTCCTTAGGGACAGGTGTACATCTTGGGCACTTCTTGAAGCATCGGTCGTGCTTAGCTCAGATCATCTTCTAAGGACCTGGGCTGGATTCCCTTGAAGATGCAACGATGGGAGAGAAAATGCTGAGTAGCTCCTTTAAAAAAAAAATCCTTGCTGGTGATATGGACTTTTTTTTTTTTATTATTATTATTATTATTATTAAGGGATGTCCTGTCTGGATGCAACTCAGATCCTTCTCCATCCTCAAAATCTGACACTGCAGCAGCCTCCATTCGGGATGCCCTTGCTGCTACGGTCAAGCAGTGGGCTGAGTAACATGCTGTGGGGTCCACCTTGTTCCTGGGGTACCACATGCGTTCCCGGGCAGTGGTACAGCAAAGAGCAGGGAGAGGAATCCACGCTGGATGCAAATTCATACACAGCAGGGGCCCAAGCTGTCGCATGGAGATCCTGCTTTATGGAGCATGTTCTTGGCACTCTCTGCAGTTCCTGGGTCATGCAAAATGAACACGACTCCAATATTTATGAGCTGTAACATTCCCCACAGTCTCAGTAGCTCAGAAATGGCCTTCTGCTGCCCCTCTGCCTTACTCAGTGGCCAGAGCACCCAAAAGGAGAAAGGAGTAGGGTTGGAGTCATGGAAGTGGGGGCCATGGAGGCTTGGTCAATGGCATTCAAGCTACCCCATACAGGTGGGGGTAGAGCATTCTCCATGCACAGCAAAGACAACTTCTCCAGCTCCCTAGGTCCAACCTGCTGCCCAGAAAGCCACCCATGGGGCATGCCTGTATTGCACTGTGGTCCAAGACCCTTTGTCCTTTTCCAAGCTGGGGACATTCACCCAGGTATATGCCATGGGTGAAGATAGCCCAAGGTCCTGGATCCCATATGGTGGACATGCAAGTCTGGGTCTGGCCTCACTGTTTTCTCCCTGGCCACCTTTTCCATCCCAGGACCTCCTCTCCCATGAAGTCAGGATCCTGCCATGGCCCTTTCTCTCCCCATTGAACAATACTGAGCCAGGCTTTTCTACCCTCCATATGGTCCTGACTCCCACATCAGTAATCTAGGCCTTAAAACAGCCCCAGTCTAATCATGCCCTAGGTATAGGTCAGTGGCATCAGTGACCAGACAGAGCTGGCCTGGGGTATAGCCTTTGATGGGGAATCACATGGAAGGGAAACAGAGGAGATAATTTATGAGGTCTTTTATGGGGCTACATCAGATGAACAGCAACCATCTTTGCACCCAGCGGGTACATCTCCTGCACCTAAGCCTGTCTAAGAGGCATCACTTTCTTTTGGGCTGAGTTACTGCTAAAAGGCGTGTGATTCTGTACACAAGTGCAGACAGGAAGGGAGCAAGGGTGAGTGTTTAGGGCATCTTAAAACCCCTCAGATCCAAGGATCCCTTCACCTAGTCTCTTCTTTGCCCCAGCCAATTGCCCTGCCAGGGACCCAACCCATTCCCAACCCCCATCCTCTCCAAGTGAGTCTGAACTTCTCAGTAGCAGGCAACATACTGAAATCTAGATGGGGAAATCTGCTGCCTTTGGAAGAGCAAGCCTCTGGACTGGTGCCCTACTCCTCCTACAGCCCCAGCTCAAGTTTGATTTCAGGGCACAGACAGGGGAGGCATAGCATTGAAGCCCTAGTTTGCTTTCCAAGTCACAGAGGGTTAACAGCATATATACAAGCTGCAGAAGGAACCCAGGGAGCTGTGCTCAGTTGATGGAATGGAGCCTAAGGGGCCAAAAAGGTTGGTTATTTTTTTCTATTTTCTTTGTTTTCTCTTTTTTCTTTGACATGTTTGTGCGTTGTCAGGGGGCAGCAGGAGCCTCCTGGCTGCGCTCACTCCTGGCTCGAGCCAAAGAACTGCAGGAGGAAGGAGAAGATGTAGATGATGTCCAGGTAGATGTTGAGGGCACCGAAGATATACTCCTCCGGGCTCAGTGCATACCGGCGGTTCCCCATCAGCATCTGCATGTCAAACGCCAGGAACTGGGGAAGGGGAGAAGACGTGCGGAGAGGATCAGAAAGGATGCAGGTTTGGCCCAGGGGCTGTTTCTCTCTAAAAGTCCCAGATGCTAGTTGTGAGCACGGCTTTCATTTCCCCCCCTGCTTAAAATGCAGCTGCTGCTTAACATCCCACAGGAACGGTACAAAACGTTTATCCGGGGTCTCGGGCAACCTGGAGTCTAGCTGTACCAGAGCTAACATCCAGTACCCCACAGCACATCGGGTTTCTCCCTGGGTGGCAGGAGACATGGGTGGTCACCCAGGGACTGTCTGTTAACAAAGCGTCTCCCACCTAGCTCTCGTGAGGGAGGCCAAGCCTGCGAGCAATCCCTGCCTCTCCTCTACCCCTGCAGCTCCGTTCCAGGAGCACACGAAGAAAGAGGTGCATGTCAATCCTGTCTGGCCCCATCCAAGATCTCACTGCTTGCTGAAAGCTCTGGACCTGTTTTCACCCAGCTTCAAAACAGCCTTTTGAGAGAGTCGGGTACCAGCAGCAGGTATGGCGAGCGTGGAGCAATGGCCATGAGGGTAGAGGAAAGGGTTGGGTAGGCAATGGGGCATCCCAGTAGTTAAAAAAAAAAAATCACGGAAACCTGCAGGCTCACCCCAGAATCCCCAGCTTCTCTGTTAGGTGTTCAGTTATTTAACTACCCTGTCCCTAAGCCTGTCCTGACTGTCAGATAGTTGCTAAACTTTATCCCAGCTCTTCTCATTAGTGCCAGGCTTATCTAATGACCCTGTTCCCCTCACCCCTCCACAGGGCAGCTCACTGTCACCAGCCCATATACCCTGCCCAGGCAGCCTCCCAGCCCAGAGCCAGTCACCCCCTGTGCACCACTTTCAGCAGCTCATACCCAGGAAAGTTTACTCCTCTGCCATTAGACAGCTACAACCTCTCCCAGGGGTCCCTGGCTCAGACGTCCCCATGCAGAACAGGGCATGGGGATGGCTATGGAGGTATAAGGGATTTTAGGGTGCCTGCTGGGAGACCCTGGACAAGGAAAGGCAAAGAAGTAAGACCCCACGCATGGCACAGAATGGGGGAGCAGGACTGGCTATGCAACTTGCCCAGGAGCAGGATGCAGCCCTGCGAGGTTTCCAGGAGCTGCAGTCTCTTGCCTTTGGCATCCAGCTGGCCTTGCTACAGCAGATAGACACCAGCCCTGTTTTGACCCGTCTCAAGGAGCTAAGCCCCTCCCCTCCTCTGGAAGCACAGGGGTTGCCGACCAGGAGCCCCCGCAGGTTAATTCTCCAAGCTGTTTTTTTGCAGGGCTCTCTCCATTCAGGTTTTGCAGGTTCCAAGCACCACGTCCCTTGAGGAGATAATGCCCCATTACAGCAAACCCAGCTGTCTTGTATGTAGCCTTTAGCCAGAATTACAGCCCTACTTGGATACCAGGGGCAGTCGAGATAGCAGCAGCTGCCATCAGGGTCAAGGGCAGACTGGTGCCATGCCAGTCACAGCCCTGCTTGCAGGGTAGATGTGCCCTGTGAACAAAGGCAGCAAGCCACAGTGCGGCTTCCCCATAGACAGCGAGTGGGGGCTAGCGAACAGCACGCTGGCTAGGGAGCCAGAGCACCTGGGCTCTGTTCCTGGCTTCCCCTCCCTGCATCTGCTTCCTCCTTCTGTCCCTTGCCTGCTCTGCCTAGCAGCCCAAGGAAAGTCACTTTGCCGCTCCTCTCCCCCGCCACTCAGTTCCAGGAGCACACAGAGAGAGGCATATGCCAACTTTGTCTGATGCCATCCAAAAATCTCACTACTTGCTGAAAGCGAGTTAAAAATCATACAACATGAGGGTAGGAAGGGCCCTCAGGAGGTCACATTGAGTCCACAACACCCTGCTCAAAGCAGGACCAGTCCCAACTACATCATCCCAGCCAATGCTTTGTCTAGCTGGGTCTTCAAAACCTCCAAGGATGGAGATGCCACCGCCTCTCTGGGGAACCTGTTGCAGTGCTTTACTACCCTCCTAAGGAGAAAGTTTTTCCTAATTGCTACTTGTTCTGTCATCTGCCACCACCGAGAACAGTTCAGCTTCATCCTCCCTTCAGGGAGTTAAAGGCTGCTATTTAATCCCCCCAAACACACACCCGTCAGTTGTCTCTTCTCCAGACTAAATAAGCCTAGTTCCCTCAGCCTCTCCTTACCAATCATGTGCCCCAGCCCCCCAACCATTTTCGTTGCCCTCCGCTGCACCCTCTCCAGCTTGCCCACATGCTTTCTGTAGTGGGGGCCCAAAAACTGGACAAAAGTTGAGTGAGACTAAGACCTCCAAGACTGAGCAGGCTTATGTGCAGCACCCAGCACAGCAGGGCCTGTCTCATCCTCCTGTAATAAAAATCACTATAAAATGACCTTGATTAGACAAATCCCAAGCCTGTATAAACGAGCCTGGGCAGATAGAAATGGACCGGCCAGAGCCTGACTATGGAAGTTTATGAGTTAATTATAAGCTCTTTAGCCTACATATTTTACAAGGCAAACATGAATCACAGCTAAAGTGCCTGAGCTCCTGCAATTGACTTTAAAATAATAGAAAATGAAGGGACCTCAGGAGGCCACCTAGTCCAACCCTCTGCTCAAAGCAGAACTGTCCCCAACTATTTCATCTCAGCTAATTACTAGCTATTAAATATATTGCTCAACTTCTATTGTGATTCAGTGAGCCCAGATGGTGAGCCCCAAGGCCACTGTTGCCCTGATTCCCCCCCAGCAGAGGTGACTCCCCCGTGCTCTCTACAGAGACACCCTTACATTGCACACAGCAAGCAGGACCCCAATGAAAATCAGCCTGGCAGCACTGTCACATTCATGCCAATTTGCACTGGATTTACAGCCCATTCTCTGCCTGCTCTTCTAACATGGCTCTGCATTTCTCCGACCCATGGTACACCCCCACTACCCAGTCTGGGTCTCCCCAGTCTCCTGGCTCAGCTGCAGCCCCCACCAGGTCTTGCATGTGCCCATTCTGATGGCAGGAGCAGGGTTATGATCGAGGGACAAGGCAGCCCTGGGATCCTCACTCGCCTCTCAGCTTCAATTCTGACTTCTGCCAGGTTTGATGTCCTATCACACACACTCCTGCGAGCACACTTCAGTTGTGCTCAAGGGCACCAGCTATTCCACTGCACTGTCTTCCCAATGCCCTTTGCTGTTCTACCACAAGTTGTTCTTATGCCAGCGTTTGCCTATCACACCAAAACTTTCCCGTGTTCATCACATACTAGGGACTACGCGGAGGTGGCCACACCAATTGCTACTCGCAACCCACATCTGGCCAAGAAATGGTCCAGAGGGGAAAGTAGGGCCAGACCTCACTTGAAGTATGACCCTGCCTATCCTAGGTGCCTGGTGTTTCAGGACCCAAATGGTTTGTTCTTCATTGCATTCAACTTCTCATCGCTTGTAGAAGAGCGCCACTTACCATGGTAAAGAGGATTGCACCCAGTACCGCATATATAGCATGGAGCCAGGGGACCTATGGAAAATAGACAAGGCACCGCTCAGTTCAAGGGAGGAAATAAACCTACAGGTGAGGCAGATCTCTTTCTCACTTGTTCTCATGTGACCAGAGGAGCCCAAGGATATATATGGAATGACACTGGGGAACCAGCAATTGGCTGGACCCTGTTGAAGATGCTCTACCGCACTGGTTTTCAACCTGTGGACCCCTGGAGGTCCACAGACTACGTCTAAGGGATCCGTGAAAAGAGGACTGTGGTCAGTCAAAACTATGTGAATGCCCACATTTATAGTTCAAAGGGGTCTGTACCTCCATACCAACATTTTTAGGGGATCACAAAAGAAAAAAAAAAAAAAAAAGAGGTTGAAAACCACTGGTCTTGGGAATGATTAAAGCAACTCCTGCCATTGTAAAAGGTCACTTCTGACCAGCTCTGCCCCTGTCCTGGTCTCTCCCACCCTAGGGGAGTGGATCAAGGGGAACTGCTTAGAACGAGCCTCCTGTCTCATCGTTTAGGCTGGGGATTAGGTTTGCAGGAGGCGGAGGCCGTGCACCCAGTCATGGGTCTGGAATAGGAGCCGGACTCTGCAGACAGAACAAGAGGCCTATTGTTTCCCCACAGCTCAGTCAGGCCACAGCAGGCAGCTCCATCCCCAAATCCCAAGCAGGAAGGGAAGCAAGACTCATGCTCTGGCGGAGGTAGGGCAGGGCAGGGAGACAGCGACAGGTCAGCGAGGGTTTAGGGGAGCGCTAGGGTGTGAGAGATTAGTAGAGCAGGAAGGCAGACAAGAAGATGAAACTCCCACATTGCTAAGCAGAGCTTGGATAAGGAAGCTGGAAGCGTTACAGGACAGCAGGGAAACTACCCCCCCCCCGATTGCTTCAGCAAGAGCAAGGAAGGGACTGTACAGAGGTGTGGAGAGGAAAAGAGAGGCCACTCACATATTGGAAGGGGAGAATCACAGCCATGATGATTCCACCGAAGACCAGCACCATCAGCATCACGAAGAGGACGCCCTGGCAGGAGGTGAAGTCATACTGGGGGAGAGAGAGAGCAGTTTCACTGGCTAAGAGCAGGGTGCATGCTGTTGTGGTAGGGAGGGGTACAGGCACCAGGCCCCTAACCCTCACCTGCACCCCAAAGCCCTTGCCCCCTATATCCCAAGCCCAATACCCCAGAATGCATCATACCCTGCCTGCACCACAAACCGTGTGATCCAGCCCTTGTATCCCAATCCCTATATCCCAGACCTTGCCACTGGTGCACCAAATCTTATATTTCATTACTCCTTATACCCCAAACCCTGTGACCCCAGCACCCCTTATAAGCTAAATTCATACCTTCCCCTGTATAACCCAGCCGTACCCCAAATGCAATACCTTCATACCCATACACCCAACCCCATCTCTGTTGTACAGATCCCCCCTCGCCACTAACCCAGTGCCATTAGCCAACCCCCTACCCATCCAAGTTCATCCACTGCACTGCACGGCCTGCTCTCCTAGGTCCCCTCTTCATGGACAGACTTGTGCTTCTCTTCCCACATCAAGACCCTCTTCCCCATAATCTGCCCCCTGGAGAGGGACTAGCTCAGATCATCCCACCTTGGTCTGGAAGCTGAAGATGGTGACAGAGAGGCACACCAGGGCTGTGATTCCCAGGCACAAGAGGACTGACTTAGTGTCGTAATAGCTGCAAAAGTTGCATAAAAAACCCCCCAAATTCCTAATAAGAGCCCAGTAATCAGAGTGTGGGAAAGACAATCAGGTAGAGGGAGAGACGGTCCCAGCATCAGGGCCTTGGCAGGTGGGTACATAAGTAAAAGGGCAGATGAAAGGAAGCCGGGGGTTGTGACCATCCTGCACTTGCCATATGGGGGGCCAGATGGATAAGACACAGGAAAGCCAAGGAGTGTCCTGCTCCAGACAGAAGAGGGCACCTGGCAGGGCATACGACAGGGGTGGGCAAAATATAGCCCATAGGCTATATCTGGCCCACCAACTGATCCTATTTGGCCTGCCAGCCACCACCAACAGCTGCGCCCCATGCCTCTCTGTCCTGCTACAGCCAGGGCCCGGCACGCAGGCTCCTCTGCATCCACCCTCCTCCACCTGGCTTCCTGTTGGTGCTGTGGCTACCAAATGAAGGGCACTAAGTAGCCAACCTGCTTGCCCGCTGTGATGAGCCCCTGCCATGGTAGTGCCACTCCATGCTGGCTGCAGGGCAGGGGGGTGCTCAGCCCAGGGCAGCCGCCCAACTTTCCTGGGGTGGCAGTGGCACATCTGGGCAGGCGGGTGGGCGAGTTGGCTACATGGTGCACTGCATCACGCTTGGTCTTGTGCAGGCTCAGCTGTGGCAGCTCCAATGCCAGGACTATACAGTGCCAACAGGAAGCATTGGGGGGGAAGTGCAGGGGTGCAGAGGACTCCATATGCTGCATGATCTGGCCTGGTCCCAGCTGCAGCAGAGCGGAGCAGTACGCAGCGCAGCCTTCCCTCCTCCAGATCCCGGCGGCAGCTCACAGGCCAGATAGGATCAAATCCCCACCTCTGAGCAGATCACTGCCCAAATAATTGCCCACGCCTGGCATACAGCCTTAGGCCTGGAATTTAGGAGCGCAAGGCTAAAGGGAAGTGGTTTTATCATCAGGGCCCATCCTGGGTGCTGTAGGTGATGACATCCGAATTCCTTTCTGGGGAGAGTGAGGACGGCTCTGAGTCCAGGCTATGGGCATAATGTGCAGCTGATCCTTCTCTGTTGCCTGCAGTCGAGTTACACCAGAGAGAGCGCGGGCCGACGCATCTTACTGGTCTCTGCTGCTCCTTCCGAGATCCTCTGCATTATCTTGCTGTTACTGCACCCACCACATTCCTTGCCCCCAGCACCCAAGCGTTCCCAGCCACTGGCACACTTGCCCGGTCACCAGAGACCCACGTGACTTGGGGAAGATCTTGGGAGTGAATTGCAACAGCAGAAACAACACAAGAAGTGAGTTATATCAGCTCTGGGCCACGACAAGAATTCCTCGTTTGAGGGCAGCTTTCCTGCATTGCACCCGACAGCACCTTCTGCTGGGAAAGATGGGGTGGGAGCACATGGAAACCTCCCCAAGGCCCCTGTTCCCTACAGCTGTTCCTGCTGGGAAAGGCTGGAGTGAGTGGAAGCCAAAGACAGACACTGCCTGCGCCCCATTCCCTTTACTAGCTCCCTCCTGAAAGAGGCCAGATTTGGCAGAGCCGGTGCTCCTGCCCTGCCCTACGCAGCACTTCTGGCTGGGAGTGGCTGCAACAGGGAGGTGAAAGGAAAAGATGTCCGAGACCCATTTGATTGACCTACCTGGAGAGCATCCCAGTGAGATAGGACATGGAGAGCGTCTGGTAGGGAAAACAGAAACAGTTACTGCTGGGTGGGACATGCACTCGGCTCCTCCAAAAACAATCCCACAGCTACCCTAGAGATGTCACACGGTCACCCTGCATGGAGGGGGAGCAGAAGGAGCATTGCTGATGACCTCCTACTCCTTTCCATTCTGGAGATGGCCATCGTGTCGGCCAAGGATGGTGTGGGGGGTAGGTGGATCTTTTTGGAGGCCCAGGGGTGTTGCTGACATAGATGGTCTGTACAAAAATCGCCCCCATCCTGCCCACAGGTTCACTCGCACTTTCCTGCATCTGACCCCTCAAATGCTAGACATCTGAAGTCTACAGTGCCCGGGCAAGTAAAATGTCTTCTTACAGCTTCGAGGCTTGTCCTCCAGTCCAGCTTCACTGCACCCAGCTGGATCTGGATACCCGGGTGCTCAAACTGGGGAGCTAGAAGTGGCCAGATGTGATCACAGCCACATTGCTCTTGGCTGAAGATGCTGATGGGCCCAAATGGCTCTAACCCAGGGGTGGGCAATTATAAAAATCAGGCAGAGGGCCACTTACTGAGTTTGGCAAGGGCCACATGACAGGCACCCAGAGGCAGATATATATTAATTTTCTAAATTTTTTTAGGGGCCCCATGGGCTGGATAGAATGGCCTGGCGGGCTGCATCCAGCCCCCGGGCCGCATTTTGCCCAGCCCTGCTCTAACCTGATGGGTTTCTAGGCTCAGAGGGATCAATTGTATAAAAGGTGCACTGGCTTCCCATGCCCAAGTGCACAGCTCATGAAGAGACAGGCATCCACATTAGACCATGTTCAGCTGACAAATGCAAGCTCAAGAGCAAGGAAAATCACCCCAGTGGACATTCTTTGTACATGGTTTCTGCTCCCATTCAAAGCAGGGTTTAAAATGAGGTCATATCCCAACCCTTAAGGCCAAGTATACACCCTCCAGCTGTTCGTAATCCCTCAGCCAGTGCTCAGTAGAGCACTGCCATCACCCTCTCCTTATCTAGTGCCCACTCAATCAAAGTTCTTGGCTTCAATGCAATGCAATTACTAGAAGAAATTGCCCGTGTTATGCAGGAGGTCAGACCAAGGGCTTGCAGTGGTGCTTGCTGGCCCCAGCATCAATCAAATCCGTGACAGGCAGTCACCATTCAGTGGCAATACTTACAAAGATACTCAAGAGGATCAGATTCCATGGGAAATACCTCCTGAAAGCAAAGCACAGAGGGCCAATCAGCACTTCTACCCAAGAGCAGAATCACCGAAGAGGGGCTGCATCGCGTGTTGCATAATGGGGGTAATAGACCTAATGATCTGTGCAGAATATGGCAGGGAGGCAGCGATATGTTAATTCTAAAGAGCACCTAAAGCTATGTAGATATAACCACACAGGAGGTTTTTCTCCGCTTCGTTGCAACTTGAAGCTACTTGCAAATGCATCATGTAGCCCCACACAACCCAGTCTCAGCACCAACACACAATTATATCCTCTGGGAGACGCACCACTGCATTCACGCTACCCCTCTGCTGCATTCAACCCCTCTGCAACACACACTGCAGCATCCAAGTTACCTCTGCTGGCAGAGAGAGCCTCAGTTTATGTTTGATTTGGTGCGGTATGCAAAGACCCTGGATTTGGGACAGGCCAGGAGAGCATCCACAGGCCATTTCATTGTGCTGCGCAATTCAGAAAGGAGTTATTTTACCTGGGTCCAGAGCAGCAAGCCAGAATCATGTACGTCACGAAGAACACAGCACTGCAAGAAAGAAAAGAAGAAAGAAAGAAAGAGAGAGAAGCAGAGGGAAGGTTAGGAAGGAAAGTCCCATGTCAAATATCTTTCAATGCAAGGGAAAGGAAGGACTCCTTTTCAGCTAAGGACTTTCACTCTTGCATTTTCTGTGAAGAACTGCAGAACCTGCTCAGAGCCCCCTGCGAGATGGACACAGTGGGTGGGTGGAATGATAGGTAGAAACATAATGGATGGATGGGTGAAGAGATAAAGACAGGAAGGCAGGAAAGAGGGATGGGCATAAGATGAGAGAGAGGAAGAGGAGAAAGTGAGAGAGGAAGGGAAAGCCAGCCAGCCAATGATCCAGGAACACCTCTCTCAAATGGAGCCTGCAATAGGATACTGTCTGGGGTGAAACAGGTTTTCTTCCTAATAGAAGAGTGAAAAAGGAGAGACAGAGTTGGAAAGAGATGGAAAAAAAAAAAAGAGCACTGGGGACCTGCCTCGAGAGCGAGGATCTGGCCAGGAGACCACAACATCTGTCCAGATCTACAGAAAGGCAATGCTGTCTTTCAAAACTACAAAGCCTAATGCCCATGGAGGAAAACAACTTGCCCCCTCCTGCACCTCAAATACCAGCCTCCTCTACTGCTGTTTTCGGTCTGCCTCCAAAAAGTTATACAAGCCATAGTCCCCCCCTCAGGGCCAGAACACAATTTGTACCTTGAGTATGAACTCATTAGAAACAGGTTTAGAGCATCTTCTTCACTGTCACTTGCGTCTCACGCCCTGTCAGTTTAATCATGGGCAACGATGCAAGCCATAATCCCTTTGGAAATGCTGCAGCAGCAAATACCTTAGCACTGTGGGGCACAGCTATAAAAAGATGTTTCTGGCATTTATTCAGATCTGGAAGTGGGCTAGCATGCCTGGTGGGTGGGGCCAGAGGTCCAGTCTGGCAAGCATTCATTAGCAGTTTTCTTTGCGACTCAGTTCATGGCAGCTACACCCAGTCTGAGTTGCCTCGGAGCCACCAAAGGTTACGATTTCCACCGTGGATTCTCCGATGGCTGCCAAGACACGAGGAAAGACCCTAGCAAGTGCAGCTCACAGCGGCCTCCTTGGTTTCAATGGCACTACATCAATTTACCCCACACAGCTGAGAGCGGGGGAGTTCGATGCAGCAGTGCCAAGGAGCCAGCCATGCTGCCATAGAGGCCTGGCCTGGTAGCAAGCCTGGTGCTCCCTGGCACAGTGGGATGGCTTTGGGACCCAAGTCCTACCTAGGTGATATCTCCCAAACCCTCTCTGCTCTGACTTCTCCCGAGTTCAGCAGGTGAGAAGGCATGATTTCAAAACTGTTTGTCCGGAGGTTTCTCAACAGGGCTTTGCTTACCATGCACAGGACCACATTTGACAGCACAAAGTGCTTTTATTGCCTCCATCCAACTACAGCAGGATACCTCTAGCTAACATCACATGGCAGCATCCCCTGCACAGCTACAGCCTTTTACCTGCAAAGCTTTCTAAACAACTGCCCTTTGCAGGTGGGATTTCCCCCATTTTTGTTCTCATCCTCAAAGGATGGTCCTTCCCTCCTTCCATTTGGGACAGTGGTTCAGATCCAGCAGGCAGGGAATTGCCTCTGGATAAATTCAGCCATTTCCTCTGCATCAGGTTAGGATGGACTGCAAGTGGTTTTGCCTTCCTCTGTAGCATGGGCGGTGGTTAGTAGATACTTGGAGGAAGACTAATTACTGGGCCTCATCTGGAGTACTCTATCCATTTTGGGGCCCCACACTTCAAGAAGGTTGCGAACAGTTTGGAAAGAGTCCGGTACAGGGCTAAAAAAAATTATTAGGGGCCTAGGAGGCAACACTTATGAGAAAAGGCTGAAAGAACCAGTTATTTAGTCTGGAGAAGAGAAGATTCAATAACAGTCTTCAAACACTTGAAGGGCGATTAGACAGGGTGGAGATGGGCTTTTCTCTGTGGCCATAAGGGATAGGACTAGGAACCAGTGGCCTCAAGCTGCAGGACAGGAAATATAGGTTGGAGAAGAGGGGGAACTGCCTGAGTACGAGGGTGGTCAAGCTACCCAGAGCAGTTGAAAACTTCCAAGGAGGGAAATGCCACCAGAGCAGGGTAGAGCAACACTTTGCTGGGGTGGTTTAGTTAGGGACAATTCTGCTTCGAGCAGGGGATTGGACTCAATGACTTTGAATACAAGTGACACTTAAGTGTGGACAGTGCAGGGGCACAACTCCCTGCTGCTGCCGCCACCACTGCTGGGCAGGGGCTTCAGCCCCGCACCCAGCATCCCACCTTCAGCACAGAAATCTCCCCCCACCCATGTCCCCCGACATGTTGCCAATGCGTGCAAGTTCCCTTCCAGCCCTACTTTCCTACGATCCTAGTGTCCTGTCGCTGTAGTAGCAGCGCTTGTCTCCCCTGTTTTGACCTACAGTGTGTTACAGGATGGGCCTGGTGTGTGGTCTGATTTGTAGTGGTGTGTAGGGGTTTGACATAGTGATTTGGGGGATTCCCTGGGTTGGTGGTTGCCTGAAGACTCAGAGGATGGCACTAGCTGGCCCCGTTCGAGCTCTTACAGGTAGGAAAGAAAGCCACTGGATACTCACTAGGAGGCCCAGTACCAGGCTGGGTGGGTCTGGATGTAGTCTTTGACCGGATCACTGCGGGTGAGAAAGGAAAGGGATGAGAGAGTCATTGAAAGCATGCAGGGCTCACATCTTTACTTCCAGGCCGCCGCTGTAACCGCACCCCTCCAAAAGCCCGTGAGAAAGCCATCCAATTCATGGCCTGTACTCACAGCTCCCTAAATCTGCACGTTAAATTATAAAATAACATGTTTCTGCAAGTGCCGGCTGTACCCATCCCAAGATAAATGATCAGGAAACCATGTTCAGCAAAGGGAAACAGCTTTTGGCATCTAAGCTAAGGGATTTCGTGGTTGCAGTTCAAGCCACAAAAATTAATTATTCATCCCAGGGGTAATTTGAACTCTAGAGCTCAGATAACTTATGGCTTCAGATGCACAGAGCGATGGCTACTTGGGTGAAGGTACTCGCTTCCTTGAATGCGCATCACCCACAAGCTGCCCCAGTATCAGTGACAGCACCTGCCCAATGGAAATGTACTCCGATTCCTTTGGGTATTATAGGTCACCACGGTAAGATAACAGGTCTCCGGGTGACCGCTACCCATGAGAAAGTGGACCACTTGCCCAAGTGACTAAGAACCCAGGAGAAGCAAGACACCAAAGCTGAGGACTGCTGTGAAACCAGGCACCTACCAGAAGGTGAAGAAAGCCACGATGTTGACCGTGACCAGCAGCTGGACCATGAGAATGGCATAAACCTGAAACGATAAGCCAGCACATCTGATTTGTGTGGGCCAGGCAGTCCATAGGCAGGAAACTCTGCCCCCATGCACTCTCCTCCCACAGGGACAAGGCCAGATCCTCTGCTGGAGTACAAGTCCTCTCTGCTGCACTAATGGAGTGGCAACGATTTACCCTGGCTAGGAGTTTGGCCCACTTGCTTCAGTAGCGCAACACTGGCTTATATCAGATGGGAACTGGGCCTGGGAAGCCTGCATTGCCCTAGTACGACATAAGGGCACCTGCTCCAAGTCTCAGGACCTGGTATGACTGTGCTAGCACTCCCTTTCTATATAGCCCTCTGGGCTTAGGCTCAGCCGTCAGCGGAGATGGGTCTAAGCTGGGCAGCTCAGATGCAGATCCAAGCATGCCCCAATCCAGCAGGGCCAGGTCATGTCAGTAACTGGGTCTTGCTAGCCTGGTGTTTACAAGGACTATGCCTGGCTATACCTACACTCTCCCTTCCTTCTCCAGCCCCTCTTCATCCAGGGACCCATTAACTGGTGGGAGCATCTCGGAGGGTGTCTGAGACACCGTCCAGGACATTACCTTTCTGATGAACACTCTGCGCACATTTCTGTCATCCCAGCTGAAGGTGGTGAGCATCTCGGTGTCCCCTGGGTACCCTCCACTGCCATAGCTTGGGCTGGTACCTGAAAAGGATGTGAACAGAGGATACATCAGTTCCCAGCCCTGCTCCCCAACATGCACTCGGGTGTTTCTAGAGCCAGTAGGCAGAAGGCCTGGATTGAGTCAGAAGGTCAAGGTCTCCCATCAATAGTACATAACAAGCCCAGGGAGGCACTTCCTCCAGGATACACCTGCTTGCTTCCCACTCCCGAGTCCCAGATCTTCCAAACCTGCCAAGCATAGCAAAAGCTCTTCCCTGTTGCTCTGATGGGAAATAAACTGCTGCCTCCAGATCCTGCCTGGGCACAAAGCTTGTGTGAATGTCCCCCTGGCCCGACACACAGCTCAGGGCCAAAGGAAAGATGCCAAGCTGTAAACCCTCAGCCCCTCTTAGCCCAGGATAACTCGATGCATAGACCCAGGTCTTAGTAGTTTGGTTTGAAAAGGAACCAGACAGCTCACAAACACACAGAAAGCCAGTATCAGTTGCAACTGTGACCCGCCACCCCTAGATACCTTCCTTGCAATCAGAAGACCCTCCCCTGTAGCCACATCAGTGCTGAGTACATGAACTACATCCATGCATGGCCATTAGTCACCAGGCAATTTGCGCGAAGACTAGCATCTCTGGGATCCAAGCCCTGTAATGGAATGTAAACCCAGAGCTGAATCAGGCGGACGGGCAGCTGCCTACAGCAGCCTCACAAGATCCAGCCCGAGTAGGTGGGAAATTTTGCATCGGACACAAAAGTGAGAGGGAAGAGTGAAGGTCTCTGCTGTATCTTTTGTCTCCATCGCAGCAGCAACAGAGCACATGAGCACACTGGACACCGGCTTGCTATGCAAACATGCACAGCAGTCAATAAGAGGCACATGGCACTGACGACAGACCAAGGAGTTGTTCACATCCTTACTGGGATATGTCAAGTCAGGGTCCCAGGAGTGGCCATGCAACTATGTCCTGCTCTACCCCCAAGACGCTCCCCCCCCCAGCCAATCTCACCTTCCACACCTTAGTGGATTATAAGTGAATACAAGAGGTAGGCTACCTACAGAGCTGGCTGGGCCTCTGTAGTCCACTGTGGCCAGCTGGGCACCCAAAGCCTCATGGGCTAATTGCATAACCCACTTTACCACACCCAAAGCCTTGCAGGCATTACCAGTATATTCTTTTTCTTGCAGCCTCAGCCTCTACCCCTTATAATGTAGCTAGGGCTTCTAGCCTAGGCCCACTGAATAGGACCTGGTTTCAAGGCACTGGCTTCCCTTGTTCTTTCTAGGCACCAAGCCCCTACTTCCTGCATGCTGGGACCCGGGACCCTCTATAGCTGCACCCCTCTCAGATGCCTTTAAGTGTTTAAGCCCCAAGTCTGCCCCTGGCAGGGTTCAATGCAATCAAGTGCCCCTCTCTAGACACTGCCCCTATAGCCTCATTCACAACCCACCGGTTAACACAACAGAAACACAAGCCCCTGAGCTATAATATAAATACCAACATGTAGCAGCCTTCCACCCCTGCAGAAATATAAACCCACACCAACCCAACATCCTGGACTCCCCTAGACAAGAGCTCCTTCCCTGGTAGCAGCCAGGGACAGACTACCCTACTAGTCCCAGCCCTGAGCTTATATGCTCCCCTGGCCCTGCCTGCATCCAGGCATCTGATCACCTGCAGGTGCTGGCTAATTATCCCATTAGCCAGTTGCCCTGCCCCCTGCCTGCCTGCAGAGCTCCCTGGCTGGGCTGCTTGTCCCCTTTAAGTAGCAGAGATGCCTGGGGCTTTCTGTTACAGGGTCTTACTAGTGAAATACAGAAGGCAGCTGATGGCAAGAAAGATTTACCAAGCTACTAAAGCCACTCTGAGCTCTCTGGCCCTTTACACACACAAAAACCTCCATGCCTTTAATAATGAGGGGCTCTATTCCACCTCAACAGTGTCACTAATGAGGCTTTACAAATGAGGGAACTGAAGCAGAGGTCTTGTTCATGGTCATACATGGCAGCAGAGCCAGGAATTTTCAATCCAGATCAAGGCCTCCGCCGCTGCAATCTTCTGCACCGAGACCTCCTCTGCTGTGCTCCTAGGGAGGTTTTCACACACATCCGGTCCAGTGCAATGCAACCCTCGCCCTCCAACATGCCACGTCTCCATGTCAGCCTCTGCTACCCAAAGTAACTCAATGTTATCACACCCCCCACAAAGTCAGGCACGGGTTTAACCAGGGAGCTCCGCAGCCCTAAACGTGCAGCACAGCTTATGCCCTCCTCCATGCCACGCAGGACCTGAGTCTTTGCCATCCGCCCATCCCAACTCCAGCAGACTCACCTGTTCCTCTGAAGCATCCCAGGACATTGGCCAGGATAGCAACTGTCCCATCCGCACACAGTATTAGGTGCTATGTCATCCCAAGCCTCTTCCCCTTCTGAATCAATACTAACTAGGGTTGGCAAGATCAAACTGACCAGTCAAATATTGTCAATTGGCTACATATTTTTTGCCCGGTCAACGATTTTAGCAATTTTACCAAAAAAAAAAGCCTACTTTTTTTGTAATTTTTTGACAGAAATATGCTTTTTTATTGTTTTTGACACATTTCTTAATGAAAAAAAAGTGTGATTTTTCTGTGTATTATATGGACTTTTTGGCCATTTCTTTTACAATTTTGGACCAATACTTGACCAGGCAATTGCCTGAACTTTATTTGACCGGTCAAATACCCAAGCCTACTATTAGCGTGGCTGCTAGATTCCCTCTCACCTGCGCTGACACCCTCACCAGTGGTATTTATACAGCCCCTGTTATCAGGCTAGCTGAATGCCTGGCTGTCTTTGGTGTATTTCTTTTCCCAACACTCTCAGCAACCATCTCCATTTTACAGGCCGAGAACTGGAGCACAAAGATCCCGATCCAGGAACCACTAAGCATTTAAACCCTCGCTTGAAGCTGATGAGAATTTAGGCGTGTAAATACCAAAAGGCCAAAGGGTCAAGACAAGGCCCTCGGGGTGAGTGTGGAGCAGTCTCATGGGTGCAGTTTCAGCTTTGGACGTAGGTGGGCAGGCCCAATGCTCCACCAACCCTGCTGCTGACATGGTAGAGACAGGCCCTAAGCTGTACTGAGTTGCCTTTTGGATGGAGCCAACCCTCTGAAACCCATGCCAGTTCTGGGCCAAAATACCTCTGAGGAGCTGAGCCTAAGGAACGTCCCCACTTTACATGCAGGAACGATGCACTTCTTCCCCTGCAATGCCCATGAACTTCCCTCTTGCTCAACTCCACGAGAAGTTTGCTGAGTACAGGCATCAGATCCTGGCCTGTATGTAGCCAGAGAAATGCCTTACTCTGCCCTGTCCACGGGTGGGCAGGGAGTGTGGCTGGCCACATAAAAGCCAGCCCCTCCTCTTTCTGCCTCAAGATATTTTGTGCGCTACCCAACCGCCATCCACACAGCCCAGCAGGACAGCACACGCCCTGCCCAGCCGTGCTGGGGCCACAGAGGCTGATGCCAGAGAAAGAGGAGATGGACACGAAGCAGGAGCTATGGGGGCCCCGAGTCAGGAGCTGCTGGGAAAGGGAGGGGGTCAATGTAATGGTCCACAGAACCGGGACCATGGCTGCAGAAGGAGAATTCGGAGTTGCAACATCCCTTTGCCGTCACAGGCAGGCGTATCACCGAACCTCAGTATCACAAACGGCAAGGCTTCAATGCATCCCATATGCCTCAATCCATCACCTTGCATATTGATCACCTCTGCTCAGGACACAAGCACCAAGGCAGGAGATTCAGGCAGGGTCTAAGGGTCCTAAGGGAGCTTGACACAAACATCTCATGACTAGCTCCAAGCTTCCCTGCAGCCAGCCGTCCCCATGGGCAGACCTCCAGCGTCATTGAAGCCCCAGGGCTGTAGTTACAGGATGCAAGAACCTGCCTGCCTGCCAGCACACACACACACACACAAGCCAAAAAGTGGGGTGTGGCCAAACTGGATCTCTGTATTCAATATAGCACAAAACCACAGCACACAGAGGTGATGCCATGTTGCGCGCGGCATCCACATGGGATCTTGCAGCTCCGTAGTCCTTCTGCTCAGAGAACGAGTCCTTGTGCCCCTGTGGCTCGGGGTGAAAGGAGTGCACCTAGTGCTGGCTGGGAGCAGAGGGGCAAACGGGACACAGTTGAGCAATTGCGATTCCACCTAAGAAGGGAATGCAGCATACGCACAAATGGTCTCTCTCCCACACACATAAATAATGCATGCACACAGACACATACCCAGTCGTGATGCACATGGCAGCGAGATGCATACACCCCCACACTCACAGGAACAGCAGTGATGCATGTATATATGCGCACCCACACACACACACGGACAGCAGCGATGCATGTGTATACATGTGTACATGCGCACACATGTATACGCACAGAAACAGCAGTGATGCATGTATATATGCCAGGGGCTCTCAACCTTTTTTCATTAATGAGCACTGTGCTGACTAAGTTTTTTTTCATGGAGCATTAAAAGAAAATCACTAGATCTAAATGTCAGCTCACCATCAATTATGCCTTTCGGTGTGATTCTTGGCGTGATTGCTAGTGCTTTCGAGCACCGTTTTGGGACTTATTAGAGAGCGCTTAATACAACCAGGAGAGCACTACGGTGCTCGCGAGCACCAGGCTGAGAATGCCTGATATATGCACATGCACGCACACGTGTGCGCGCACACACATTTACTGCCCTCCTCCTCTGCATCCTAGTAGGCATAGCTCAGCTGCTATCTGTTTCCCTTTCTCTATCTACCAGTCTGAATATCTCCAGCTCTCAAAATATCTGGCTTTATATATCTCTCTTTCTACATATCTCCACCTGTGCATATCTCCACCTTCATATATCTA